GACTGTCTAAATTCTGTTGAAATTATAATAAACTATTAGTAAATAACCTGTCGAAATTCTGACGAATTTTGAAACCCATCGTAACCGAAATTATGTCGAAATTCTAATTAATAATTAGTGTGTAATCCGTCGAAATTATAACGATATTTTTCTGAAAGAATTTAGGCAAGCATCCTTAGATATAGTTATCTCATTTTTTATTTAGAATAATAATAAGTTTTTGTAATATTGTTGATAATATTCTATAATTCTATTTGTACATAAAATTTAAAGTATATAAAAAAATGAGAGATGAGAAATATTTGAAAGATGATTATTACTGAAAAAGATTTTTATTTTCAGTTATAATATATTAAGTTAGAACTCAACTAATATCTCTATTTATATATTTTTTGAAAATACAATTTTAAATAATAATAATTATCAAAAATATAAAATTACTAATTGAAAAAACATAATAAAAGTAAAAAATAAAATAAAATAAAAAATAAGATAAAAAATAAAAAGTAAAATAAAAGATAAAAAAATAAATTAAAAGAAAAAATTAAAATAATTTGAGAGATCTTTGTTATTATATGAATATTTTATATTTTTCAATTATTTTTAGAATTAATAATTTTTATATTACTATTATAATAATATATAATGAATTCTAAAAACTAGCTTTTATTTATAAAATTATTTCTTGAACAATCTGAATTTGTAAAAAAAATTTAAAATTCTTTATTATCTTAAAAATAACTTTATAAAGACTCTTAATTTATGACTCTTTTATTCAATTTTAATATTAATAATATTTCTAAAATCATTATGAACTTAATACTCAAAATAAATCAAGAATATTTTGAGCTCTTTATTAGAAATGTTAATTATAGTGAATATAATATATCTTTAGTCTATCTATATCTTTTAATTATTAATTCTAAAATAATAATTTTAATATAATTAATATAAAAATACAAATTTTATATGAGTTCTTTATCAGTTTTAACAAATAGAATTATTATCATTATTTACTTTAATTATAAAAATATTAGAAAAATCTTATTTATTAGTAAAAATAAAAGATAAAATAATAAAAAATAAAATAATAAAAATAATAAATAAAATAATAGGTAAAATAATAATATTTAATGAACTATTTTTACTATTTTTTATATTTTTCTCTAATATTTTAGAGATTTTTTGTTTTTCTGCTATTTTTGAAAGTTATAATTTTACTTGAATTTATAAAATTATTATTACTACTATAACAATATATAGCAATTATATCATAAACATAAATTATTATGATAATAAAAAGTTATTAACATATTCTCAAGTATAATTACAAATATAATATTATATATCTTTTGCTAATTGTTAAATTAGCTAATAAATATGAACAAAAATTAGAAGAGAAAATTAGACAAATAAATGAAATATATTTAAGTTTTGTATTTATATCTACTAATATAAAATAAAAAACTAAATTAAAGAATTAAATAACTAAAAAAATAATTATAATAATAAAGTATATAAGAGAAATAAAGAAATTATAAAAAGAAAATTTGAGTAAATAAGTGTTCAAGAGGAAAATTATAAAAAAAGATTAATATTAATATTTTTATACTTATGTTGTCATTTTTTAATTATTTTAATAATATTATAATGAAATAAAATTATAAAACTAAGTCATAATAAAGGTAAAATATAACAAAATAATATAAAATCAATACAAAACAAATAATAAATAACAAAATAACTATTATGAATTGTTCAAATACAATTATCAAAACTAAAGTATATTATAAAATATTTTATTTATTTTTAACTTATTGATTCAGAATCTTTATTTATACATTTTAAATACAAAAAGCTATTAAAAATAATCTATATAAATTATTATAGCTAAATAACTCATGTTATAGATTCATGAAATTTAGTAGCAAATTTCATGAACTTTTCATAAAAATATCATGAAAATTAGTAGAAAATCATGGCACAATGAAGTTTTGAATATTTATAATTAATAATAGTAATAATAAATATAATACTAAAAATAAATAAAAATAGAATAAAAATAAAAGTAATTTATGCTATTGGTAAATAAAAATAATTATAATGGTAATAAATATTAAGTAAAATGAAAATTAATATAATTTTACGAAATTATGAAATTAAGAAAAGAATTATTACTATTGTACTAATAATTATAACCAGTTATGACTTGATAAACTCATACAAATTCTTATAGAGCAACTGGTTCCTGATTTTTAGCTAAAGCTTACTCTGTATAATATGAATTGAAACTTTTTAGCATGATGACAAGTATTCAAAAAAGAATGAAGCAAAATAGTGTTTTCTTAAATAAAAGATATTATGTAAATGTGAGTAATTGAATATATTCTTGTATAATATACTTGTATAGCTCTTACTTTATTTGTAAATAATTTATCATAAAAAAGAATGATACTCAACTCTTGCCTATCTTTGCAAAAATAATATGCTAATATGATTATTTTTTGTTCACTTTTGAAAGAGATAAAATATCTAATTACTTCACAAAATAATTCATGGATCTGATATCAAATAAATATTCTGGAGAATGATCTTATTGAACAACAAGACATGAATGCTAGCATCTCACAAAATATATTCACAGAAATAATGCATAATTTAATAGAAAAAAGATGAGAAAAGCTTGCAGAGTACAAAAAGATATTAAATACCATATTAACACTATATAAATGGTAAATGAATAATGACAAGTTTGTGAATGTCTTTGATTTCTTGATAAAGCCAACAATAAAAGCAATTAAAGAATGCGATAAGATATTACAAGCTCATAACCAGCAAAGAACCTGAAGATTAAAAAGTGGGAAGCTTGTATTTTGATTATATTGATTTTTGATAGAGCAAATAAACTACATGTATATAATAGAAAGTAGTATATGTTCTTTAATATAAAATTTTTTTGTTCATCAATTCGGCAACGAGCAGAAGATTCGGATCAGATCGATATCAGGTCGAAATCACGTGATCTGCCACATTTTTTGCCGCAGCTAGGATACTATCGACAAATATGAATGGGTCACTTTAGAACATAATATCTCGACGTCTAGTGATCAAATTTGAGTGAAAATACCACCTTTTGATTTGTCTATATTAGGAAAATTGTATGGTATTATTTTTCACTCAAATTGGATCACTAGACGTCGAGATATTATGTCCTAAAGTGACCGATTCATTGTATTGGGGCATGAAAGTTTATGAACATTCAATACAAGCTCTACCAATCTATAAAAGATATCAACGATCAGCATTTGTAATGTTTTTTGTGCTCGAAAAATTTTGGTACATTACACATGATCTATGGAAAGTTAAGGGGGGTACGTTACTAATATGCGCCCTCGCTGAATAATAACCATCTTGATAAACTTTTTTGTACCATTTCAACTCCATAAAAAGATCTTTTGAAACTTCAAATCCGTATTGATAGCATTCAGCAATTTTAAACTGAGCAACGTAAACCCAGACGTAGCAGAACTTAAATACCACACAAAGCTTGTTTCTTAACTTTTTGCGTTCCAATACCTTCTAAGTAACAGAAACCAAGATTGTATTGTCCTCTAACATTGCCTTCCTCTGCCGATTTTAAATATAACCCGAATGCTTTTTTCTCATCTTTTTGCGTTCCAATCCCATTTTGATAACAGATACCAAGATTGTATTGTCTCTCAACATTTCCTCCCTCTGCAGATTTTAAATACTTTTTCCTCATCTTTTTGCGTTCAAATACCATTTCGATAACAGAATCAAAATCATATTGTCCTCTAGAATTTCCTCCCTCTACTGATTTCAAAAATCATCCAAAAGCTTTGTTTTTGTCATTAAGTGTACCAACTTCATTGTAGTAGCAAATTCCGAGTAAATATTGAGCAATCGCATTATTTTTCTTTGCAGATTCTATATAAACTTTAAAAGTAATTTTCAAATTCTGTTCAAATTTTATCCAAAAACCATACAAACTTTATTCGACTTTAATTCAGATTCAAGCACACTTTCTGTTAATTATCAATAATTATTCGCAGTTTGTTTGCAATTTCATTTAAATCTTTGTTTTCTTTTTTTCTGAGTTAGAGAAAAATAAGTTTGCAATCATTTTACTCATTTTAAATTATTTTTCGCATGAAATATAAAATTTCTTCTGAATAAAGTCTCTTGTATTTAGCAATCAATTGGAGTTAAGGTTCGGATTTTTCTTCCAGGAATCGTCACACATGTAGTATTAGCGTTAGCGTTAGATGCACGATAAATCCGAGATACACCAATAAAAAATTTTGAACACAATCAATTTGGTACGTAAGCTAAAAGGAATACATGTATAAAATTTTAAAAACGGGATCAATTGTTCTTTATTTAACACTAACCGTTACCGTTACATAAATTCTTGAGGCTCGCACTTCAAAGAATTTTAATTGAAATTTCGACAAATCAAAGATTCTAATCGTAATTATAAGATAATAGTTGATATTTTTTGTAATTCATATGGCACACAGTGATAAAACGTAAATAAAATTCATAAATTACACTTTTACAAGTACATGTATCAGGTTGGTTTTATTTTGTCCGCTAGCGTTAATGCGTGCCAATCATGATGGAGTAGATTTCTAAAGTTACAATTGAACTCCAATTGGTGATGTTAAACTTGTGGATGTCACAAATATAAAATTGCGACTCCACTAAAAATCACTGAACAGCTAAATTTTTAGCTTGTAATTTATTCGATATTCCAAAATTCATGCACAAGTACGAATTTAAGATTCGGGATATATTTTTATTCAATATTTACGTTACAAGTGACATAAATATTGAAATGTGATAATACTGTGTTAAAGAATTATTCGTAAATTTATAAATTAACAAGTCACATGTACAAGGAGAGGTAATTCAATTCATATAGCCGTTATTCGTCAACCATTCCTCAACACCTTTAGCATCACGCTTCAACCATGCGGTATTCGTACGAATCCTCTCCAAACTCTGTTGCAGCGATCGTGCAAACTTTTTGTTGTCTTTATCAGCAAAGAAATTCTCTACGTCAATTGCTGCCTCATCTGATGCGAATGAGTCTGTGCCATGCTTAATAATGCTTTCGAGCAGAACAAGTGATTTTGCATATTGATCTTGGAACTATTTGATTGAGAAAAGCTGATGAATCAAGAAAAAACCTTCAAAATCTCAGGAAAATAAAAGTTTAAGCTTTTTACCAAATCCCAATTTTTTTTAATAAAATCCCACAGTGGCTTTCTTGATTTACGATTAGATTGCAAACTTTGAAAATAATTCGCTAATTAGTCCAAATCAAATCAAAGAAAATGCTGAAATGAATAGTAATTTACCTCGTCAAAGAATAAATGATATCTTGATTACGAACTTCCGGAGAGATGGAAAAGTCCAATGCACGTTGAATCAATTCAGGTTGTTGTGCATAACCAAGAGCGGTCAACGCGATAAGTTGTTGATCAGCTGTTGGACTATTTCTGAAAATTTTCAATATTGCTTCGAATTCTTTTTCACCGCCACCATGTGTTAACACAATCTCATAGACTGCTCCTCGTATATTAGGATGTAAAACCGAGTGATCATTCTTCTCGGTGAAAAGTTCAAAGCGGCGCTTAGCTTCCTTGACAATTCTATATCATAATTGCTTTAATTATTTCTTCCTATTCAAGATAAGCATAGCATAACAGATAAAAACCACGCTTGCTTACTCTAGATTTCCAGCCCTGCCGCTAATTTTAATAGCCAAAGACCTTAACATCGTAGTCAGATAATCTTCCTTTTCAGGATATTCCCAACCTAATCTGTATGCCAGTTTCGAACATAACTTTCGTTGAAATGACAAGAGTCCCTGGTAAACAGCCTCGGATTGTTCAAACCATGCGGAGGTAATATTCGTAATATGAGAGTTAATTTCGAACCACACACTAAGAAATAATAGAATATGATTAAATGAGTAAGAGGAGTAGATGATATAATGAAACTTTCTTTAAATGTACATATATTTATCCTCATCTTCGAATTCATTCAACAAGCTCAAGAATTCACTAGTCTTTCCATATCCAGCCACTGCTAATGCGCCTGCATCGGCAACCACACCCACGCGATCACTTGTATCCGTCAACTCGCCGTTCTTGATTGATTTTCCTAATTTTCTTAACCGTTCAGGTATATAATTGACTCGAAATACCCCAACTTCATGTGTGTTTAACTTGAAGAAATCTTTCTCGACTCGCGGAAGCGTAAAATCCGTTTCCTTTACTGTAAGTACTTGGGATCGGATATTGGCAGGCGTAGATTTTCCTGTACTAATATTAAGAGGTATCCACCAAATATGAGTATCATCTTCTGGGGTAACATCACCGGTAGAAAGAAATCGAGTTTGTTTGATGTGTATTATATTGGGTTGAGGTTCAGTAACATTGAGCACTGGATACTATAAATTATTAAATCAAAGTGAAACACACACATACTTTTATATAAACACTAGGTAAACATGAAGTGTGATTGTACCCCAATTTTTCTGGTCCATCCAGTCATAAATTTACCAACATCATGTCCACTCTCTTTCGATAAATTCGCCCATAAATCATCCGTACTCGCATTTCCATACAAGTGAGCATTCAAATATCTTCGTATACCAGCCAAGAAAACATCTACACCAAGATAAGAACTTAACATTCGAATAACAGAAGCACCCTTCTGATAACTTATAGCATCGAAAATTTGATGAATTTCGCTGTTAACACCGGGAGAATTATTTAGTGATATAAGTTTGTGTAGATTTTGAACTATGATGATTTAAGGAATTAGTTTAATCAAAAGATTACCTGGGATCATTTACAGAGACTTCGATAGGATGGGATGAACGGAGGGAATCGAGTTTGAGACCACGCTGAAAATCATCAACTACATATCTAATTAATTCATTAAGTTAATCAAATGACCTGATATGTTCTCAATCTTCATTCTTCAAGAAGAGTTTCTTACTGTGACCAAATATCCCAATCTGGGAAAATTTCATCAATTGCCAAATAACCAACCCAAGTAGCAAATCCCTCGTTAAGCCAGAGATGATCCCACCTAAGTCAAAATAATTTATCGTTATTGATAATAAGAATGTAGCATCAAAATCTAAAAGTTAATTAATATTACCATTCCATAGTGACGAGATTTCCAAACCATTGATGAGCTAATTCGTGGGCTACAGTATAGGACACACGTTTCTTATATCGCGCGTCAGATGCTTTTGAATCAAAAAGAATGGTAGTTGTACGATACATGACAAGACCCCAATTCTCCATAGCACCTGAACAAAATGCCAAAAGTAGAAAATTCATCGTGTTTTACATGTTTCTGAAAACTAATTTCAGCATAAAAAAATATATACCAAATGTGAAGTCGGGAACTGCTACCATATCTAATTTCGGCAAGGGATATGGAATTTCAAAGACTAAATAAATCAAAGATTGTTGGAATAAGTATCCATTCATATTGAGAATGCACAAATATAAGATGATGAATTATACTTCGAGTAAAATAGTCGAGTGTTTTGGTCGCAACATTCAACGCTAACTCTCCTTGATGTTCCGACCCTTTGATTGCATAAACTCGGATAAGAACCGGTTTTTTATCTGTATATCCACCAGTTGTATATTTCTCAATATAAGCCAAATCTCCAGCGATGAATGCCACAAGCTGTTGTTAGATTTATGAAAAAAATCATGAATTGTGAAAGTCGAATATTTGCAGTCATTAATGTGAGCATACATAAGTACTCATGATCGGAGTCTTGGCAAATTTCACTTCTTTTTTGTTATTTTCAACTGGTTTTTCTGAAGCCACATCCATATTACTTAAAGCCACAAGACCAGAAGAGACGATCAAAGTAATATGAAAAGTAGCTTTGATTGCGGGCTCATCCCAACAAGGAAACGCACGACGGGCATCAGTAGCTGCGAATTGGGTGGTAGCTAAATATCTGTCTCGGATGAATCAAAAGTTATTTGATGCAGAATAGAATCGACAAATAAACTTAAATTACGCACTTTTTATTCCCTGTAGCATCGGTGTAAGAACTACGATAAAAACCACACATTCTATCATTTAGAGTTCCTGTAAAGTCGATATGCAAAATAGCTGATGTGCCAGCTTGCACTTCGCTCGGAAAAGTAAAAGTCACAGTCTGCTTTTCTTTATTATAAGATATATGTAATGCATTGATACTACAAAATTTGGAAATCGATTATGAACAAGGAGAAATGCGCACGAATAGCTTGTTTATGTAGATACCTATTAAGATCAGCAGCTTGAATTTCAATTTCGAGAACATTTAACGTGATTTGCCTCGTATTTTCGTTGATATTTAGGCTATATATTTTAACAATTATTAGTTCAGCAGAAATATCAATTCTCGCGCTCTTTTTGTAAAATGCATAATACTTATAAATAATCCAGATGACTAACTTTATAGTTTCGCTTCCTTTAAAAGTAAAGTCTTCCAAATTAGGTGTCAAGGTTAAGTCATAGTGAATCGGCTTCACATTAGTAGGTAATGTTTGGCGTTCAGTTGTACCCGCCATTCTGAAAAATTATTACGGAAATAGACGACTATAAAAATAAAGACTGACTGGTAAAAGATAAATATAAAAGTACGAAAACTTGTCACACGGACTACGTAATTACGTATATGTAATACAAATTTTTTTTGCACGTTCAAAATGATCCTACATCCTTTTTCGTCAACTTTATATGTACATGTACATGTACAGTTAGCAAAAAAATTTATTAACGTTAATAAATGTGGGGATCATGATGGAAAACGGATTATTGCAATATCTATTATAATAAGCTATAAATAACAAGCTATAAATAACAATTATACTGATAAATTTATATAGTATTAGTAATATAACCATTATTGCAAAATTAATTTAAGTTATATATTTATGCATATATCATTATTTTCAATATATTGCTATTTTATTATAAGAAATTGTCGATAATTCTGACCAAATAATCTCATGATCTGCACAATTTTGGCCAAAATTTTCACCATTCCCCCACAATAATGATAAATACGAAAAATATGGGGTTTTCTCTATATAAAAGTTTTTAATTTTACCGTTACTAATAAATATTGATTTTTACATCAAAATGAAGAAAATATCACATATTTTAAGATATATTTTTTTCAGATTTTTTATATTTAATTTTTATGACATCCTCTAACGATAATTTTTTTGTATGTTTTAATTATCGACTTTAGAGGATGTCATAAAATTTAAATTTAAAAAAACTGAATAAAATATATGTTAAAATATATGATATTTTCTTCATTTTGATGTAAAAATAAAAACATTTATTAGTAAAATTAAAAACTTTTATATAGAGATAAAACCCCGTCTTTTTCGTGTTTATTTAATAAATTTTTTTGTTGTTGCATTTCTTTTGATTGCCACTGTATATCCGAGCGCGAGTATTCAATGTGACCGTAACTTTTGTTGCCAGACGTTTAAGTATATGTAATTATATTTTGAATGGAACTGAGCAATTTCGTCATTCTGAGAATTTTAAGAATCTGACTTGTAGTTTAATTATAAATGGAATCCCAAGATCCAAGAGGAAAACATAATCCGGACGAGTGCCTGAGGTAGTTCCAACTAAATAACAAAATGCCTTATAGAAATAATTTGCAAAAGCCAGGACTTCAGACTCATTGGTTAGACATAGTAAATGTAAGCAATATAAAAATTCAAATCTTCTAATATATGAATCATCAAGTTTGATTTTGATTCTTACACTTAACGTTAATAATCACTATTTGTGTCTCTAGTATACATGTACGTATGAGCTACGGCGTTTAACGTTAATAGAAACATACATCACACAGTACTTTATTACGCATATTTTGTTTGTAAGTAATGTTCGCACAAATTGAACTATTTTGACCAAACATGCAAAAAATTGTTTTATATTTTCTGAAAATTGTCAATAAATGAAGCCAAAATGGAAACAAGAAGTTAAGCTAAAAAATGCTACCCCTATCCCTATGAAAAAATTTTACGTTATTTACGTTATTTTACGGAATTTTCTGAATTTTACGGAATTATTGATACATGTACATGCTCTAATTAATTTGGAACGAATTCCAGATACATTTATATGGAAAGTGTGTCCGGAATTAGTCCGGAGTTATACAGGCAGTGAGATTTGTGGTCTTGGGCATATTTACAAAATTAGGAAGCTCTCTGAAGAGAGCCAAATTTTGATAGCACAATCAGAGGATTTCTTCATCAAGAAATCTTCTGAAAAATCCGGTCCTTTTCCTGAAAGAGTTCAGATCCGGATATTTTTTGCAGGAAGATATAATTTCGGTTTTTCAAATAATGTAAAAAAAGGAATACTTTATACGTAATTACATGTACTTTGGAACGAATTCCAGTTAGGTGTGTACGAAATTATTTTCGGTATTTTTGCACGTCGAATTTCGTATGTGTTTCTTATTGATTCCTGAGGCTTATCAAATATATTTTATCTACCAATTGAGTTCTGAACTAGTTATCCATATTCTCTCATTTTACCAATAATTAATCATGAATACATCGTACAACTCCAGAAAAAGCTTTTGACCTGCAGTCAAACCTTGATAAATTGAATTTTTCAAAATTTATTATATGGTGTAACAATCTACGTAGTTACATCATTCATTCTTTGGACTTTTAAAGAGTATCGGTATAACTCATTAATAAGAATTATTTGAATAAATCTCTGTAAGTTTATAAATTTGAATCAGACAAATAAACTTAAAGGATTTATTCACATAATTCTTATTAATGAGTTAAAGTCTTGAGAATGTTTGTTCTACAACTTTACTAGAATAGTAAAAATAGGATTTTCGGTAAAATATAATGCTAAAGTTAAAATGACCGAAAAGAATTCAATATAAGTTCTTGTTTATATCTTGCTATCCAGAAAGCATATCGAGATATAAATACCACTATTCGAAAGCTAAGAACTTATCCTACATCATAACCGACAATAGTAAACATTATTAGCAAATATAATTTTGACAAAATAAGAATAACTATAAAAACTGAAAATAAATACTGTTTATTTTTGTATTTTCAAAATAATATTTTTTATTATGGAATTTACAACTATTTACATTACAACTTATTGACAGAAATTTCTGTTCTTGGTTATAATTAGGATGACAACCCAAGTTGTAATCCGAAATGTCCTTAATTCTTCTTACAGCAAGCAAACCTTAAAGTACACATTATTTTTTTTAATTTCTATCACCTGTCAAGATAAATGTATTACCGTTACGTATTACATGTAATAAACTCTGATCTACGTTCATGTACATGTATTTGTTTAATTTAGAGGTGAATCAATAAAAACCATAGTTTTGAGATAATCTAATATTTTGCGTAATTAATATGATTAAAACTTTATCTCAAAACTTATGTAAATTATGTATTAAAATAATATAAATAAAAAATATTTGTTAAATATATGAACTTTTAAATAATATAACAATTTGCATTATTTTAAAAAGTTAACCTATAGTAATTTCTTATAAAAAATACAAATTTCTAAACTATTTAAATTATTATTTTTTTATAATGAATATTTTTTATTTTATATTATTCTAAAGTTCATTAGTTGGAGTTTTCTTGGTTGGCTTTACAGGTAGTAGAAATTTTTTTAGCTTGTAAAGTTGATGTTGCAAATTTTTATATGGTGTAGGAACTCTTAAATTGACAACTTCATAATTAAGAAGTAAATCAAAATTTAACCGGTAATATTATAGAAAAGGACTTTCTTGATAATAATTTTTGGATTTACTTATTAGTTAGAAGTTGATAGAATTTTTAATATGGAACACTATATATCGAAATCGGGCGTTACTTTTTGTGGCGACTGTACCTGAAAAATTTTGCAATTAATTAATATATACATAATTATACGATACGGCGCACCATATGATATGTATTTAATTTCTTTTTTAAATAATTTAAAATGTAATGTTTAATACAATCATATTTATTTATAAAAATATTATGAAATAAAACAAAATCAGTTCATATATTATTATTACATGTAATTTGTTTTAATTCAAAGGTTTTTTGATAGATTATGCTCATGAGCTAGTTGTAAATAAAAGGAACCAAAAGAACTTATAAAATAATTATGTTCCTTTTTGTACAGTGATTTTTTTAGATGCTGATAAAGTCGATAAATTTATTTTAAATTGATGCTACTCATACGGCAACAAACTATAAACATTTGTAGTCGGACTATAACAATATACACATAGCTACGCAAGACGTCGTCGTTATAAAAATCAAATGCAAACAATACTCTTCAGATGGTCATAATATGATTTACAGAAGCTTCTTCTAACCCAACAATTAAATAGAGCATTACCCCCAATACCATAAATTGAATTCATATGAACTCGAACTATTCAGTGAAAATCAGTTGGTGCTATAGTTGAATAAAGACTATAGTTCCTTGTAAAAAATCAAACCTAAAGTTAATCTAATTTTTTTAGTAACTAGTATTCTTCTTTATGGTTAAATTACGTCTCTATTTAGCACTTTACAGGATATATTCTAGAATAACTATTCGTTATTTTGAAATAATTATACACAGAGTTATCTACTGAAGTCATAGATTTTATAAGTCAGTATAGATCAGTCCAATGACAACCCTGATTATATATTATTTTCTAAAATGCGTGGTCATACAGTTACCCCCTTAATAGTCACACATGCTTTGTACATACGTATTGTTTTAAATTTAGATCGAAAATACGTTCGCTAACACATCTAATTGAGATAAATAAAAAATGACACCCGACTACGTATTGCGATATATTGATTATTGTTTGTGAAACCAGAACGCTCCACTTGGCGCAGTCACAATATTTTGCGGCAGCACTTTTCGATGTATGGGTGAAGCGAGAACCGAATAAAATGATCTTTAAGAAACTAAATATTGAATCTCAAGTTTTTGAAATATTGCTAAGGTAATTTCACGTCAGAAGCAATACCGATAAATACAAAATCTGATTTAAAATTTTAATAGATATATTTACAGTGGAAAAGTTGATTTGCAAAATCATGGTGTTTCTATTTATTAGTTGCAGCCGATCGAATATCATTTTAAATCTTTAACAGAGCGTTTTGCTTTAATCAATCAAATTACATTCGAGCATAACTCTTTTACCAAGCTTCATAAATTTTGCATAAATGTCACATGTCAAAATCCAGCTGCTATTTTTCAATCAACTGGTTTTACCAAGTTATGTGAATCAGCTCTCGTTTGTGTGCTCGAACGTGACAACCTAAATTTGAACGAAATCGACCTTTGGGAAAAGGTGCTTGAATGAAGAATCTCTCAAGCTGCAGATACAGAAAAAATTGATCTGTCAATTCCAACGGAAAATTGGACACATGACGAATTTAAGCAACTCAAATATACGCTCAATAATTGTTACCATTAATTCGTTCTTCCACATCAATTCGGTTGATTTTCATAACAAAGTTATACCGTATGCCGAAATTTTACA